AAAAAAAAACAGAATTATAATTTCAAAAAATTACCAAATTCCTATATAAATCCAAAATATTACCAAAATAAATAAATAAGGACTTGCGATTCAATACCCAAATCATTAAACCCTAAATTAAAATAGGACATATAAATCATTTTGTTAGAAAGCCTAGACCAAAATTCAAAGTTGAAATACTTTTTGCTATGATGCGAATCATCTAAATCACACAGTTAGAAAAAGAGGGAGAAAATTAGAGTTCTTACCTACCACAGAGAGGTTGAGAGAAAGCCATCCACAGAGATCCAGATGAGAGTGAGACAGAGAAATCATAACTATGAAAACCTAAAAAAACAAAACAAAGAAACCAGCAATGAAGCAGCAGCAACAAGGAAGATACCCAGACCAAAAACCCTAGAAAGGAGAACGAAATGAAGAAGGAGAAGAAGGACCATGACCTACTTGAGAGGAGAGGAGATGTGGTCGCGGGCATCGTCTCGTCGTCGCAGAAGGAGGAGAGGAGCTGCTGTGGAAGGAATCGAACTCGAAGGGAAAGAAATAAAAACCCAACCCTAAACTTGAAATGTCTCTTACTGAGAGAGCAAGTATTTTTTATTTGGTTTTACCTACAGCAACCAATTTAACCGGTAACCAACAATCAACGCTTTGGATTACCCCACATGCCCCAGCTACTCATCCAATGGTCTATAATAAGTGGCGCATCAGTGCGCCAGGCGCACTGTAGAATTTTCCCTACCATCATGGCCGAATCCTTTTTGGCCAAACATTTCCCATTTTCTTGGGATTGGTGAGAGCCCTCACCTTGTCTACTCTAAAAAAACCCTAAAGTCCAATTTTCTCCTACCCCGTAGATAAAAATAATGAATATGAGTTTATTATCAATGCTGAACTTGAGTCTTGCTTTCTTTCATGAATGCCTTGCCTTCATAAAAAAAAAATCAATATGAATTAAATATCAGGAATCACATAAATTATGAATTAAATATCACATATATTATGAATTAAATATCACATATATGATGAATTAAATATCACATATATTATGAATTAAATATCACATATCTTTCAAAAGAGAAAAACATGGAAGTAGGGTTCATATCTTCTCTTACCATAATGTGAAAGGACCATGAACACCGAAGAAGAAACAAAAAGTTTCCACTACTTTTGTGTAGTACTATTTTTTTTAATTCCAAATTTGTCTAGACTAATTTATCATTAGGAAAATTTTTCCACACAAAAGTTGCTTTACTTTATCATCAGTAAATGTGAACAGGACTAGTTTATTCCAAGTTCAGGAACATGTTCTGTCAATTTTGTGTTGAAATTTTTTCCACAGAAAAGTTCCTTTCTCTAGACTAATTGATCTTTAGGAAATTTTTTCCAAAGTTGCTTTTGACTAAACTACTTGATCAACAGAAATTTTTTATCGGACTAGTCTATTTCAAGTTCATCATATGAGTATTCCTCTTAATTTTGTGTTGAAATTTTTCCACACAAAAAAGTTCCTTTATATTAGAAAAAAAAAATTTATATATATATATACGCGTTCAAAGCGCATATCTAGTTCTTATTGCTCGAACATAAGTATTGTCCGGAGAGGTTAAGACTTGCTTCTGACCTTTATATATCAATTGCAGGTATGTATTATAATTTAATAATTAATAATTTAATTTTATTGAACATCTTAGCTCTCGGTCTTCCGGTCGAAAAACAACGTCGTTGCCCTTGATGTGATTCTATGAGAGTGTTTGTGTGTCTGCCTAACGAGTTTGTGTAATTAGTAACTTCCATTTATGGAAAGAGTCTTTCGTCTGAGTTGTGGTGTATCTCAATTTTAATGAAAGAGTGTTTTTCAACTGACTCCACTTATTTGAAAATTCTTTCCGTATAAAATGGGTCTAGAAAGGAAGCTCAACAACGGCTCAAGGAGATGGGTTCTACAAGCACCACTGTAATCATCGAGGCCCCGGAAGAAGGAACTGAAGAAGCGCTCAAACAAGGTTCCATATCTTCTCTCTTTCTATGTACCATATCTAATGTGTGTTATGCTAAGTATGGAATTTATGTTTTTACCCAAAGTCCCGCTTATTGAAAGAGTCTTTTCATTTTTATCTTTGCCTTGCCTGCATATAAGATGGGTCTCTAGATGAAGCTGGAAAACTGCACAAGGAGTTGGCAGAAAAAAAATTTCTGCGCCCAGGGAAAGGAACTGAACAAGTAGAGCTCCCACAAAACAAAAAAAATGAGGCCGCAAATACCAATGAAACCAACGCTCAGCCCGCGAGCATTTGTGGGAATCAAGTTAACGCCTCAGGTGGCCACCATGTTGGGGTTATCGACTGCAACAACCGTGTTCAAGGGACAGGCTGCAACATTGAAGACAATAAGATTGATTCAAAAGACAGCGAGTTTGTTGGGGTTATCAATTGTGGCAACGATCCCAAAAAGCCAAATTAATTTCAACAGTTCTCATCTGTCCTTTGTGTGCTTGGTGTTGCTCTGCTTCGCTATAAAAATAAATTGTGGTTGTGTTGACGTGTATTGTTATTTGCTTGTTTTGGTTGGGTGGAGTGTCTCTTGCTATGAATGACGTATATTTTTATTTTACTTTTTGGTTTGTAAAATAAGTTCCTCTACAGGAACGACAACATTTCGTATTGCTTTTTTTGGAGGATTGATGAGTTTTTATGGTTGTCAAAGTTTGAATTTGAGCGTTCGTTCTTGTTGCTAGTCTTCTTAAATTGCTGTCTAGCGAAAACTAAATGGAAGCTAGTGTTGTGGTCATCGATCTTTTTGCTAATCTTGTTAATATTCTTGAATTTGATATGAAAGTGTTTGCCCTTTTTTTATTGGCATGGCCAGGAGTTGGCCAAGAGACTGGTGTGTTTGTTTGTGAGCGTGCTACTATTGGCAGTGAAAACGCACTCAACAGACTGAGATTGTATAATGTATATAACTGAAAAATGGAGCAGTAGAGAAAGAGGAATAGGGTTTACCCCACTGGGACAAGTCACAGTCAATAATCCAAGCTGAAACTCAGGCCTTTTGTGGTACTTGGGCCTTCCAAATTCATGGGAGGGACCAAAAAGAAAGAGGAGAGTCGTCTATTAGTTTCCATGCATAGGAAAATAACAAGAAAGAGATCTTGAGGATCCAACTCCCAAATTCTCCTATCATGCCTTGATGGGACCAACACAACATTTTCTAGAATAGAACTCGGTTAACTCCCCCACTTCCCATCCATAAAAATTTCTCTAAAACCTAAAAAGATAAAGGAAAAAAAGAGGGGTCTAAACACAAACAAGCGATAGACGCATATCTATATAATATGTATAAATAAGGCAAAAGATAAGAAAATTCTGTTTCACGTACCCATCTCTCTTCCCAAAACCTTACCCTTTTCCCATTACTGAATCTGCAGAAAGAAAAAAGAGTCTCGACCTTCAAAGATGTCTTTCCAAGGGGTATCACTTTGAACCCCACGTCACAACATTAGAGTCCCAGCCATTCCAAGGGCATCGACCTTAGATGTCATTCAAAATAAGCGACCAGTGCACTAGATTATCAAGCTATTACTATTAGAGTAGACTAACGAGAATGGAGGGCACAAAAGCGGGGTAGATTTTCTTATTTCTTAACTTTTCCATATTGCTAAAGATAGAATATTTTGGGGCAGTATTGGAGATCTTCGGCACCTTTCGTTGCAGGGTTACTTTACAAGAGCAAGTTCACTACTACATTTTTCTATTTGAGCGACGATAGTTTGCGCGACGAAGGACAAATCGTTGCATAAAAGATCATCGCGCGACGAATAATCATATGCGTAGCGCTAACAAGAGCGACGAAGAACTTTCGTCGCATAAAAGATCATCGTGCGACGGACAATCATATGCGTAGCGCAAAATAGAGCGACGAAGAAATTTCGTCGTATAAAAGATCATCGCGCGACGGACCATCATATGCGTAGCGCAAAATAGAGCGACCAATACATTTCGTCGCGCAAAGTTGTTTTGCGCGACAGAAAAACGACCGTCGCGTAAAACAAGGGGAAAAAACCGCGAACAAATATTCTGGCGCCTAATTCTTGCGCGACGACTAAACTCGTCGCAAATGACATCTTTGCGCGACAAAAAACTATCCGTCGCGCAAGGTACGATATACAAAACCATTAATCCTAAGCCTTAATTTTAATTTTGCCATCTAAATCATATGTTTTTCATTGATTTTAGTGAAGATCATCATTCATACCCTTTTAATTATGGGAATGGTAGAGGAGAATCATTTTGTATGGTTATCAACCTCCATACGAATAAATTTTAGGGTTATCAATTTCCCTACAAAGAGAACAGCGCAAAATATGTTTTGAAACTAAAAAGTGTTCATTCAACTCTACAAAACTAATTTCAACGATCCAACCGTTAAACGTGTTTGTATATACTGTGAGATTGTATACCCCAAAAATCGCAAATAACAAATATTCAGAGATCTAGAAATGGGACAAAATATTCAAATGTTATAAATGTACCATGTGGCAATTGACACGTGGTACTACGTTCCACTGAACTTGCGACATGTGGATGTAATAAATTTCTCTCTAACGACGTTTGTTTCTCCAAAACCTCCGTCTCCTCCTTCTCTCTTTTTGCCCTCAGATCCCGTTTTCTGAAAACTCAACACTATTCCAAATTTCAGTCGGCAGTTTACCCATGAACACATCGCTTGTGCATATCAAGTTTAGAGCACCCATTACCTGTCAAAGATTATGAGAGAGAGAATAACAAAATTTCCAAGAGGCCCATTAATTAGAGATCTATGAAGAAATTGAAGAACTTTGCCCGACAAATCCATTACCCACAATCTTTGTTGGTCTATCACACCATCATTTCAGGCAAATTCATTATTCAACAAAGACCCATTAAAGATCATGGGTTGATCATGGTTGATTTCTAAAATAAAATAAAAATTATGGGTTGAAAAACACCTTCTCTTGGAGAAAGAATATAAAAAAATTCATAAATTTTGGCAATTTTCAGTGAGAGTTTGCTTCAAATAAATCAACCGCTAAAAGAAATAATCTTGGCTTCTTGCATCATGTAACTCCGTTGTTTTGCATCGGAGCTTTACACAGAACACAGATTTTTAATTTGCATTTTCTTCTTCTTCTTCTTCTTCCCTTTTCTGGTACGCACCTTCAAGCTTTTTTTTGGGGTCAAAGTCGGCGCCTTCAAATTTGAGTTCAGTCTCTAGGAAGAATAGCAAAGAAACAGAGGATTGGAGAAGGCAAACATCGTCACGGAGAGATTTATTACCATCCACGTGTTGCAAGCTCAGTGGAACGTAATACCACATGTCAATTGCCACGTGGTACTACCGTACTATTGTATAATTTCTCCTAGAAATGGGACAAAAGATTCAAAAGTTATAAATGAACACGTTTGCGCGACAACTGTTTGCGCGACGATGACGTATTCGTCGCTCTAGGATATTTTGCGCGACGACTAAACTCGTCGCAAATGACATCTTTGCACGACAAAACACTATCCGTCGCGCAAGGTACGATATACAAAACCATTAATCCTAAGCCTTAATTTTAATTTTGCCATCTAAATAATATGTTTTTCATTGATTTTAGTGAAGATCATCATTCATACCCTTTTAATTATGGGAATGGTAGAGGAGAATCTTTTTGTATGGTTATCAACCTCCAAACGAATAAATTTCAGGGTTATCAATTTCCCTACAAAGAGAACAGCGCGAAATATGTTTTGAAACTAAAAAGTGTTCATTCAACTCTACAAAACTAATTTCAACGATCCAACCGTTAAACGTGTTTGTATATACTGTGAGATTGTATACCCCAAAAATCGCAAATAACAAATATTCAGAGATCTAGAAATGGGACAAAATATTAAAATGTTATAAATCAACACGTTTGCGCGACAACTATTTGCGCGATGATGATGTATTCGTCGCACTATGATGTTTAGCGCGACAAAAAAATAATACTTCGCGCATAATAAATAGCGGGAAACAAACAGTGTTTCATACTTGCGCGACGAAAATTTTAGTCGCGCTAGGGTGTAATGTGCGACAAAAACAATTTTCGTCGTCGCGCAAAAAAAAAGCGGGAAAAAAGCCGCGGGTTTATCGCTTTGGCGCAAAATGATTGCGCAACGAACATTGCGCGACGATAAAATCGTCGCGCAAATGCATTGTATTCTTGCGCGACGACGATTTGTATTCGTGCGACGGATATATGCGCGACGGTTAAAGTTTAATACGTCGCGCAAAAATGGATGTCGGCATCACCATGCGCGCCGGGGAAAGAATTTTGCGGGACGGCAAATACGTTTGCGCGTCAAATAATATGCGACGAAAATTGTTATTTGTCGCGCAATGTCTTGCGGTTTTGCGCGACGAAAATAGATATCCGTCGGGCAAAATCGTCGTTTATTACTTATTCAGTTTCAGCCATGGCAGAGGCAAACTGCAAAAAAATTGCAGCTTGCCTCAGCCACTCTCTCCCTCTATCTCGAACGTCATATGCCAAGCAAACGCATCAATCTCATTTCGTTTATGAGTTAAACTGTTTCTGCCTCCGGTAAGTTCATTGATTATGTATTTTTTGTTGTTAGTGTAAAAATATTACTGTAAATTCATACTAACGCCATTAATTTCGTTGTATATAGGGATATTATATGTGATTAGCGATTGGTGGAGAACGATTGCGAAGGTATTATATAAAATTAATTACATTATGTTTAAATTGTGTTGTGAAATTATATTTATATTATGTTGTTCAGTTATGCACGTTGATGTACGAAGTTAATTGAAATTAACTTCATACATTTTTTTTTTGTAAAGCTTAGTTCCCGTTCGAGGTTAGTTGGACCGCGCATGGGTGGGTAAACCACGACTACGGTCCAATTAATTCTTGAATTGTCCCATACTTTGGACAGTTTGGAAATGCATAGTCGTGTCACGTAGAGCTACAGGATTAGGTTTCGATTGTTGAGATTTCGGTGTCATCTCGGTACGTTCTTCGGGTGGTACGTAGGTATTTTATATCTACGGTACGCCTCAAGAACTGTACCGAGATGCTGCCGAAATTCATCCACGTCGAAATCTAATCTCATGTAGTTGTAAATTACGTGACATGACTATGCATTTCCGAATGGGATAGGGCCCTTACCGGAGGCATAAGGTGACGTTATGATTTTGTAAGAATACAACATGATTGTTGTATTGTGATTGTGGTTCCAGGAAAGATGAGCAGGAGGTGGATACAAAACCCGGATAGGTGCGCAGGCGAATACTTGGATGGAATCGAGGATTTTATTGACTTTGCACGGACACACAACCCAGGTGCAACTAGAATCCGGTGTCCTTGCAGGAGGTGTAACAACATGTTGTGGGAGACAATTGAAACTGTTCGATTTCATTTAGTAAGGAATGGAATGATTGAGACATACAGCACTTGGAACCATCACGGGGAACAATTAGACATTGCTTCGTCTTCAAGGGCCACAAGAGTGGACAATGTTGAACCTATTGTGGATCCTAATGAACAAGTCATGGATATTATAAATGATGCATTTCTATTTGCATCGACGAGCAACAATCAGCAAGGGGAAGATGATGTGCCTACACCAACGGATAGTGCAGAGTTTGAACAGTATGAAAAACTGTTAAGAAATGCTAACCAAGA